CATCAGACAAATGCAAACTTACCACCGTTTCTGCTTTGTTTTAATTGAACTAGTCTTGTTCAGATAAGCCTGTCTAACTCTTAGAAAAACAACAGTTTATAGTTTAAACTGTGAAATTGTGTGTGTGTGTGTGTGTGTTGTAATTATGGTGCCTGCTAACAATTTCATACTGCCACATTGCACATATGGCTTCCAAGCTAGCTTTATCTGAATCTTTGTGAATCTATTCTCCGTGCTATTAAACTGAGCACATTCCACATCGTTCAAAAGTAATTACACTTTTGTCTAGAGTGTAGGAGACTGCTCTCCCCAAACAATGAAATTCTCATTATTAGAGCTGGCACAGTAACGGCACTGGTGTTCACAACACTATCCATTGTATCATCACAATAACTTATCCTAAGCTTGATGCACAAAGGTACACTGGAAATTAAAATTTCTCTAAAACCACTGTGTTGTGTTTTTTTTTTAAATAGGCATTCTTTAGCTCAGTATAATTAGAGTCCTATTTGACTTTTTAAAAAGCTATATGCATTCAGATTTCCATTCTCTTCGGAAGTTCTGAACAGTAGCTAAGTGCTCCAGCCGCTTGTTGTTCTGATCCATTACTATTCATATGCTGACAAACTCCAGACCAACAGGTGAAGCACAGGCCAGGATAGATGTGATAACAGAATTCAAATTCAGCATTGAAGACCCTTTTATTTTGGACAAGTGGAGGAAAAGCATGAAGCAGTACGTCAGGAAGCTCTTTGACCAGTAATACTGCTATTCTTAATACAACTAAACTTTCTTAAAATTATTCCCAAGTTATGGAGGAATAACTTCACTCACCACAGAAACACAACTTCTTTTAGTGTGAAGCAACAAGGCCACTTAACAGCACATGGTAATATTTCCTATCAATTTAAAGCACTGCTGAAAATTAATTCTAAATCCCACTGAAAGTGCAGGACAAACGTGGGCTAACAATGTAGTCACACAGTTTGTAACAACTGGACAGTGGCAAAATTACACCATAACAGTCTGATCTTTGGATCAATACTTCCTTTTCTTGTTGTTTTTGCTTTTTTAAATCTTATAGGGCATTTTATTGATATTCTATAGTTAAAAAGAATGGTGGGATTTGAGCATACTGTGCCCGTGGCATACTTTAATCAGTATTTTTAGCCTTGACATCACTTATTTTCAGAAGTTAGCTCACGGACACCACTGGTGAGATCAGTAGTCTTGAGAGGTGGCACAAGCAAAACGGTAAGGCAAACAAGTAGAAATAAAATAAACCTTAGTAACTCAGATGAGCTAACTCATGCCATCCAAATACTGTAGCCTTAACAGTTTTCTCCAAAAGAGCTACTGATTGATAGCGTAATCCTCAAGTGTTTCCCCACTAAGCTTATGGCCTGCTATGAACATCCTAAGGGGACTCTCAGATATATTCTAGGTCAAATGATTTGTCTTGTATTTCGTACTGAGCCTTTGGTTTAAGTCTGATAAATTTCTTATCAGCAGAAGAGTTTTCCTACTTACAATAAGTATGCGGTTTCTTCTATCAAGAGGAAGACAGTCTGGGATAGAATTGCCTTGGTTGAGGCTAGTAGGGATCTCCAGAGTACATCTGGTCCAATCCCTGGTCTGGTGCCTTGGACCACGTTCAGATGGCATTTGAATATCTCTAAGGGGGGAGACTCCACAACCTCCCTGGACAACCTGTTCTTATGCTCAGTCACCCCTACAATAAAAAGCATTTCCTGATGTTCAGAGGGACTCTCCTATGTTTCAGTTTGTGCCCACTACACTAACCTTTCTCTGGCTGCAGTTCCAGCATCCTCAGAAATACCCTGTTCATCTTGACGGGGAGATGGGCTTTGCAGATTTTTTGCAAATTTTGGTTAGGTTGTAAGATTTCTTTCTAGGAAGTCTGTCCTCCTTTTATAAACATTTACTCAGTATTCTGAGATGCCTCTCTAAGTTGGCAGCTGTTGCAAATTGGTAAAGTGCAACAGGGTCAATTTTCCAAAGTCTAAGTTGGGTAAACCATTCAGTTGTTACTGTGGTGCAAACAGTCCTGTACCTTAACGATCCTGGGATGTTCCAGGCTGGCAGGACTTGTAAAAGGAAGCACAGCTGGAAGTAACCTATGAAACAGAGGATCAATTAGCACCTAGAAAAGTGAGGCCAAGTAATTGATTCTCAAGGTTGAAATTCTTTTCCCAGCTGTCCCTTCGTGACCCATTGCTGAGAGTCAGCATATGAGGCGGTAGGGATGGCTTTGGTGACAAGAGGAATAAAGACATGACAAAGCTTTGTAATTCCATAACCTTCCCAAATCCCTTGGCCGTGGCTTTCTTCTGCTGAGGTTGTTCCCTAAACCAAATGGGTGTTGTACATGTAGCTAACAGAGCAAGACCTCTCTGGATCTATACCATGACTATCTAAGAATCCCTTTGGAGAAGAGTCTTAGCTGACAAAGAGTTTTAGCGCACAAAGCAGTAAGGTTTAGACAGGTGCAGCAAAGTGATGCACTACATGATTTCAGACTGCCTGTACCTCTGAAACCTTCTCACGTGACACTGGAGAGATCTGTAAAGGTGGACACTGCCAAAGACAGCATGTGGCTACAAAATGAGAACTCCATAGCCACTTGCTGGCTCAGTCAGAAGGGGCAGCAGTGCAGCTGACAAGCTATTAAGAAGTGTGAAGGACGCTGCTGGAGCTTTATCAATAAAACTGTATTGGACTGCACTCTGTGGTGGTGTGTGCACATGTGCATACACCTGGATTTGCTGCCCAGAGACTATAAAATACACAGAATGTCAATTCGAACAGTATAAAAATGACCTCTGCAATGCTAACGAAGTGAATACCCTTTGGGAATGATTTTCATAACTGCTAATCACAAAAATTGAAGCCATCCAGAGGTTATTCAGTTACTTCCTTCTTATAACTACATACCACAACAGCAGACGGTGTGATTATGTATATTTTATGTATATCCTATTTACACTGATCACTTCCTTCTTTCTGGAGACACATAGGTTACATCCTTTCTGATCTACCTGGGTGATGATTTTTACAAGACACTCCTCACTAAAAGAGAGATATTGCCAAAACGTCACATTCATACAAACTGGCAATTTACTTAAATATTTACGAAAACAAAAGTAGTCCCTTATAAACCCCAAAAACTGCCTCAGATAAGCCTACAGTATGTCGCTGCTACTGCAAAACTGTCTAAAACACACAATGATTCAGTATCTTGTATTAGAAAGAGTCAGAACACAGTGTTTTGACATCACATTAAATACAGCCTTCATAGCAGGAAGTCACACTAGATGCTCAAATAAACTTCTTGGTCTTAAAAACTATAAATGAATTAAAAAGTTAGCTAAAATTGATTAAAGTGCAGCTAAGTGTTTCAGTGAGGTGTAGTTAAAATACTTCTGCTGGGCTCCTTAGTTAATAGTAAGTTTTTATTTCATTGGGGTCTGATTCTACACTACTGGTGCCATCACAATTTTATCTATAACTTAAATGTTGTCAGAAACTACTTCTTATCTTCAACGCACTCTCTTAAAATAGGCCAAAATACTGCAAAGCTCATAGACCAGTCACATACCCTAACATCCCACTGGCTGGAACTGTATATTAATGAATTCCATCTCCATAAAACATAAGATAAAGGATGAGAAGTAAACAAGCTTAAAAAAGATAATGACATGTCTGCCCATGAGTAATTTCTCCATTGCTGTTCTTTCTTCATGTAAAGTTGCAATAACACAAAGTAAAATGAAATATTCCAAACCACTGTTTGAACTTAAGCATTAGCCCAAAAAAGGAAGAAAAATGGATCAGGATCAGCGAGTTATTTTGTCTAGGAGAGCAGCTTCAGTGAATATCCAGTGACTTGGTCCTATGAGAAATAATAATCCCTAAGGCTTTTTACTTAGGGCTTATTACATATGCATAATGAGCTGTAAGGGCTTAAATACCACTATGGAGCTGTTGCAGGCTTTTATGAGAATACACTATCACCTATTTTGCAATGCCTTTTTAAAAGCCTTCAAATATGCAGGTCCATTCATTATCTTCACTTAAAGTGAAATTGTCAGTGCCCTTGTCAAAGTGGAGGACTAAGAGAAAAGTTACAGTCAATCTGTAAACAGGCAAGAGCTGTGCAAGGGTGTTCACAATAGGCAGCTTTGTCGAGGTGCCTCAGTCCTGGGGTTTCAGTGCCTTTCCCTGCACCTTTCAACCTTTCTAAAAATGTATCACAGGACTCCCCCTGAAGGGCCCATGTTACAAAAGTGACACTACGATACTAGTGAGGAACACGGCATGGTTTTTTGTTCTTTTTGTCTCCTTTTAGATACAGCCAGTTCTGGACTTCCAGTGAGCTGCTAAATGTAAGGAATTAAGTGCTCAGTGTCATTTGTAGAGTGCACAAAAAGGTGGAAATTCTTAAGTGCAAAAGTAGTATGCTGACTTAATTCCATAAGTACAGCAAATTTTCTTGTATGTATCTGTGGCGTGTGAATTACACAACAGATGTGAATTTTTAAAACCATCAAAATTCAAAGTTTTGGGGGTTTTTTTACCCTTTATACAGACTCCCGTGCTTTACTACTGCATAAACTTGGCATTGGGGTGATATTTCAGACACCACGCCAAACGTGACTCTCACTTACGAGTGTTCCAAAACCGTTTACTGTTTGCTGAACACATACACTTCAAATTCACATCACTGTAGCTAACAAATTTTAGCGCCCTAAATGCCATCAGGCAAAGGTGAGGAGAAGTCTGCACTGCAAGTGATTTAGCATTCATAGTGGAGGGTAAAGGCAGCCCAGCCAGGTCAAGGCTTTCACAGTATTGTAGCGTGTTCTGTACGTGTAACTGTGCATTGTACACTCCGTAAAGTACAGATCTGGATGCCAAACTACTGCAGAGGCAGAATTCAAAGAATGGATGCAAGCACAATAGACCATTAGCAAACCTACCATTGTGTTGTGCTGAGAAGTGGGAGTCCTATGGCCACAGTTCTCTTGCGTCAGCAGAGAAACTGGCTGAAATTCCTCAGAGTGAGGCTTGTTGGGAAAACTCACATGCAAGGGAAGGTGAAAGGCTGGGAGCCCGTCACTCTCCTCTTCTCCCACTTTCTGTCTGCTTGTCACCATGGCTACCTCTCCATCTGCTTCCCCATACGGAGAGGCTGGTCGCTTGGAAGACATCCTGGAAGGAACAAAAGAGGAGAAAATAATGAAACCTCCAAATAAATCCTTAATGCCGTCATTGTGTGGTTAGGGGCCATTGTAACAGAAATGCCTTTTTTGTGCTGGCAGAGAGCAGGAAACCATCCAAATACCACTGCAAAGCATACACAATTGGGAACAATGGCCAAGCAGGTAGCAACAGAACAGTGGCTTGTTTGTTGTGAGAATAATACACTAATATAGCACTCTCTTGTATGCTGGCTTCTTAAACATGAAAATTCACCTAAGACTGCATAATGAAATGCAATTCCTTTAAAAAAATACCCATCTGGTTTTGCATTTGCAAGAGACTGTAAGAAGATAGAATGTCTCCCGATACAAGCTATTGTCAACTTAGCTTTTAAGGAATAATCATCTGCATGTCATTATCAACCATAACTGATAAAAAAATAAAGTAAAATAAAATACAATACAATAAAGCAACTTGCTAGCAAGCCAAACTGTCTGTGTTTATAAAACTTCACCCATGTGAACAACAGAGTGTTACAGTCATGTTGTAAGAATCTTTCCAGGTTTGCAGATCTGGTATAGTTAAGCAATTAAACACTTGAGCATTAATAATCTAAGCTTTTTGAGAACACAAATTCAGGGGTATACTAACTGAATGAAGATTTTCTATCAAATCTTCTTGCCTATGTCTTAAATACGTGTAAATGTAATTTACATTTATATATAAAAAAGGATACGCAAGGAAGATACACAGAGCACATACTGTAAAAATCACACACAAACCTTGACTTAAAATTCAGGCCCATATTCTGAATTTTTTTAGACTGTCCGATAACACTGTTCTTACAGCAACGTGTATATCTTCAACTTTTAGAAAGACTGAAAGCAGTTTTACTGGAAAATCTAGGTTTCATCTAAACCAAGCACTACTGAAAATCTTACAGGACAGTTTGAACCCAGAATTCTTCCAGTTTGATCTTCAAAATAGAGGGGTGCAGTGAAGTACTAAAATGCAGATGACTTCTGGGACTGATTACAGCAGCACTGTTCATGAAAATCAGGGTATGTGCATGGATGGCATAATGCACCCCTGTGCTAAGCAGGGGCATCTGTAAGAAAGAGTGGAATAAGAAATAAGAAATCCTACAGCCACAGTCAAAAGAAGAAAAGAAAGCAAGCTAGAGAAATGCTTCATAGGAAAAAAAAAAGTTACGGAAAAGAAAACTGAAGACTATTGTACAGAAAAGTTGGAAAAACGGGCTGAAGGAATAATGCTCCTCCTCAAAAATCTCGTATTTATGATTCTAATTATCCCATTTTGATTTTCCACCTCACAGTTAAAGGACTGCATTTCAAAAGCCCAGCAGCCTCTTGAACCATGCGTGGGGCTGCTGTGAGGTGGAGCATGTCCATACGATTTGGCATATTGAGCACGGAATGGTTCTTAGCAGCAGTCAACTGGGTATGAAAACAAACAGCGACTTTAAACAGCCCTTTGTTAGGACTTATTTTGTTTCTAATGATCTCATTTTGAGCTTTGCCTCCCAAGCCAAGTTAGATTATATAAAAAAAAAAAAACAAAAAAAACACAAAACAAAAAAAGCCTCTACCACCACCAAAAACTCAGACAAAAAAATCCCTACCAGAACCTATACTCAGCTGCACACTGCCTGTTCTGAACACAACCTATTGCCTGCGCTTAGAGAAGCAATCTGTATTTTCTAATAATGTTTGACTTAGTCCAACAGACTAACACTTCATACATCCTACCTGAATTCTGTCTTCTAGGCTTTCCCACCTACGTGTCTGCAGCAAAGCATATGCATAAAGACAGAGATCAGTTTTTTACTAGCCCACTGAATTCAGCATTTTACAGCTATGTTTGACGTGACAGATCTCAAGCTCTTCTCCTGCAGAAACCATACAACTCCCTTCTGAAGTTAATGTGAATTATTCATATTCTGGATTGTACCTCACCGAGATACATATTTTCTATTGATTTTAAGTTTTTTGGTTGCTCATTTCAACACTGCCTTAATAGAAGCCAGGGTTTTTACAAAATCTCTCTTTCTGAAAATCAGCACTAAGCAGTTGTCTCAATTTTGGCAAACAAAAGGGCAGAGACACAAAATCATTAGTCAATTATTCCACAGTAATGTTCTATACTTTAGAACATTTATATTCAATAAGATGACTGAAAATATTGCAAACCATCTACAAAAGCCTCCACTGCAATTCACTCTGGCAATAAATTATAGAGAGAGGATGCCTTGCTTTGTATGGATGATTTGGGTTATACACTGTATACTCAAACTGTGTTAAAAACTCCTATTGATGTTAACCCAGATTCTGCCACGTTGCTTCACAAGGAGAGTTTGACTATCACACAGAAATAAAGCTCTTTTGTTAACTTTATAAGTAAATACACAGTTCTATCTGCTGCGGTTCAGCTAGAAAGCTGCAGATCATCATCTTCAGCTTGTCACTGTACCCAACAGGGATGAAATCATTTTCTGCAGGGAATTTATAAACACAGGCAAGGAAGGCAACAGAGGTGTCCACCTCCATGCACTCAGAATAACATAGATTATCATGCTTCAGATCTAAACCAAAAACCTATAGGTTGGTTTGTAGGTCAAACTAAAGTGATACTAAGAGAGAAGAAACTTTTTCCTTTGCTTCCAGAAGATGCAGTTTAAATTACAAGCCACGTGCTATCACGTTCCTGGGAGGCTAACAACTTGCTAAAATAGCTAAGGCAGCAAAATTGAGGCTCTAATCTGCATTAGTCTTCCAAGTGACCGGGACACTCAAAGAAATGGATGCACTCTATCCATAGTCAACATGAGTTAGACAAACCTCAAGAGTTTCACAGGAATTTCTTCCTGTCTATGAATAACTGTGAAATTTGCACAAGAGACTGGAAGATTTAGATAAATAAATTATAAATCCGTATCTACTTCTGGAAATGTCTTCCAAAAGGACAGTAACTATCAAAGACCATAGCAGTAAAGGATCAAATCTCTGACAGGTTCACAAGTAGAAAACATGATACAAGGGAAATCTGTTCACAGATGGTCTTTCATTATTTCTACAGGTTTATTGGTCCATTTTCTGAATCTGAAATGCTCCCACACCATGTATCCTTGAATTCTGTTTTTTTCTTTTATCTTTATTATCCTACTGAGCTAATACAGGGTCTTCACTAATTTCGTATCTAAGATGCGAGTTCCCATTCTAAACAATAAGGAAAGGGAAACAGATAAATGCTGAGTAACCAGATTATCTGAAACTGAGCTCTTTTACACAGATCTATCTAATGAAGTACTGGTATTACCTCATCTTAACAAAGGACTGCAAATATCCTGGATTTACCCTCAGTGATAACACAACAGTTTACAACTTACATGACTTCAAGATCTGTTCCCCAAACTAGTTTAAACTCAGAATGGTTTTCAGCTACACCACTCTGAAAGAAGATTTACAATGGAAGAGGAAACAACAGTTTCCTCAAACATGAACTTATGGATATGATTAAAAAACCCCAACGAAACCCCGGGATATAACTCAGAAAAGTAGCAATACAGTGGATCAGAGTGTGAATGTAAAAGGGTGTCGCTGCAGATGAAATCTGTTGCACTTTGAACTGTCATTAATCATTTCTTACTGAATAAAAATAGCTAAGGAGTCATTTTATAGACAACCTCAATCTGCAAAGTTCTGACGCAGTGGGACAGAGGCGGTACCCAGCCCACTGTACAGAAACACTGGAATTGTGAAATGTATCCCCACACTTGATTTTCATCAGCGGTTAGGATGGAACTGAAGATTTAGTTCTGGCCATGAATTCAAATACGACACTGTTTCCTGTAAAGAGACTCTTATTTCTGTTTTCACAAAGGCTTCTTAACATGCAGAAATTGCAGTAAAAAACCAAGCCTTTTGTTAAATTTTCATTAAATAAATGCTTTTCCTGGTAGCAAAAATGTGTTTTGTTTGTTTTTTTTTCAGGGAAGGAAAATCTCACTCTTCTAACTCACTCTTATCTAACAAATATTTTATGTGATTCATGTTACAACAGTTTCTCCACGTATTTCTTTACTCTCCTTCAATTTATAACAGACTCTTTGTAGGCTTAAACTGATACCCAGTGTCTATTGATCTCAGTGTTTTTGGACTGACTTCAGCATGGTTGGAGTCTCCCACTGGAGAGAATAACAACTACACTACCTTCACATGAATTGTTTCCTCATGCCATCTACAAGTATTGGTTCCATCCAAATAATTTCAGGCTACCAAATAAGACTGTTTTGCTTGTTTGTTTTTTTTTTTTCCCTTGAATTCAGTGTCTTTCCACAGCTCTATTTTTTTTTATTGTTATTATTTTTAACAGAAACTCATTTAAGTGTCCTCCACTACATTTCCATTTGTTCATTGGTTTCGGTTCATTTCATACATGATTGTATACCCAAAATAAATCTAAAGTGGTATCCAGTATTCAAGCAGATAGTGCCCTCTAGCACACAACCAGCATCCCTCCCAATGCGATTGTTCGTGCCATAAAATTTCATAAATTTTATGTCATAAAACTCTAATCTAGTTACATTAGGCAAAATACCTCAGAAACATTTCAGATACCCACAAAAGCTTTTGGAGAAGTGGCTTATCCCTGTCTTCAAAAGTGACAAACACAGATGTGTCAGGAGAAGAAGATATGAGGCCATAAATCTTAACTTGTTGGGAGTTAATTAAGGGATTCATCAATCATTACACAGCTCACCCCATATATACACAGGCAAAATCTCGTCAGCTGCCACAACCCACAGCAATCCACAGGTTAAAAACTCCCAAAGTCCCTCTGTTCCGACTATTTATAAATGACTTTGTATAATCTAGCTTTAAGACCTGTAATTATAAAACAGCATTAAAACAGGCCTGCATAGTTACGGATAATTATAGTTGGTACACTTTTTAAAGAAATAAAAAGCTTTTCCATTCAAACACAGGCTT